TGTATAAGTCACCAACAGGATACTAGTTGTTACCTGTATAATGAAGAAAAACCTCAGCAACTTTGGCTTAAGAAGCACAATTCTATAGTGAGTTTGTTAGACTGGTCCTAATTTGCTGTAAACTGATAATGTAAGATCAGACATTTGGAATCAAAGGCAGCAGACCTATATCTGTTCAAGATATATAAGACCCACAGCCTGCTCTAGGGTTCCTAAACTAGCTTACTGCCTCAGTTGAAGTGGATGGCACTATGCAGTCACCATGCTGAAATAAGATTTAGCTGCTTCTACAGTTGGCTTGCGTACATGGAATAGGAAGAAAATGCCTTCCTGTCCTTTGTAAAATGTCCTTTAGCCAGCCTTCTTTGAATGTAAAGATGAGTAATATACAGTCTATATATGGCCCCATCTTTTTTTTTTGCAGCCCACCTCTTCTGTAGCCCATCAGGTGGATTTCAGCTGTAATTCCATGTATGATATACAGCTGCAATACACCATTGTTTTCATGTCATCCTTATCTTTTAAGTTTCTTAGACATGCTAAGAGGCATTTAAGCTCTGATTCTATACATACCTGACAATGACTCTCACTAAATGCAGTGGGTTTTACTTTTGAGTAGGGACTGGAAAATACTGTATGTTTTTCTTTTGTATGCATTTGTTTAACTTTCAAGTTCTTTCTTTACTGAATATGAAGAAATATGTGAATTTTGGTGAATTCTTTAAACCACATGCTCCCCCATTTAGACTTTCTGTTAGCATAGAGTATCTACTTGTCATATCAATATTAAAAATGAGGAGCTAGAAAGGAAAACTAGAAAGGAAAACCAAACTTTTAAGAATTAGTCAGTCAACACCTTGGACCTGGATGGATGAATTTTTCAGTGTCAGTTTCTCCCACATTTGAATTTTTAAAATCACAAATTCTTTCCATTGTGAATACAAAAGCAATCAATATTTTGGTCAATTCATACATACTGTACATAAAAAACTGAACTGAAATTAATATCCGTATCTATGTCCATTGCAAGCATGTTTCAGACCTGAACGTTCTCACTTCAGACTCCGAAGTCCATGATGTTCACTACTGCTAAGCAGTACTGCCTCTCATGATCAGATCAAGAGTTAACCAAAACAGTCAAATTTAGTTTTGAAGATTTGGCACAGTTCTTCATTTTATTCTAACTGATTGCTGCTACTGCCTCCTCTTCCATAGTGATAACTATACTTCTCCATTGTCGTGGCTACTAACAGTTACACCTAGCAATTGAACTCACTATCTGTTTCAGGATGCACACCTTTTTCAAGGCCGGTTTGGCTGCTAGGAAGCTCCATTATACATCTGTATGTTTTTCACAGAGGCATCCCTCTTTTAAAAATGCCTCTTTAGAAAGATAACTTGGGATGCTTGAGGTGTTTGAAATGCAACAAACTGATATAGCACAATCCATTCACAAACTGATTATGGGCTAGAAGCCTTCTAAAGTAAAAACAAGGTAAGAGGCCCAGTGAATTATTCATAAAACATCATAATTAAATTCAGAGGAGGGAGAAGAGGTTGTGGCACTGCACCAAACAAAATTTCAACTTTCCACAGGAACCAATAAAATTACCTCCCTCGCACCAGACACATTCTAATACAAATTGAAACCCAGTTATGACCAGAATTTCCAGTAACTCCCCTTCATCCCACATATACATCATTATTTACAAACTGTACTGAATTGTTCTCAGCATAGTCAATGGGTAAACAAATGAAAAGGACGAGGAAATCCTAAGGAATTCCAGAAAGAAATAAAATAGTTGCCAATTTTCAAATGACCCAGTTACAGAATTTGGTGATGGGACAAGCAGTAGTACAAAACCAGTATCATATAGCAAACATGAAAACAAAGGCCTACACACAGATACAGGAAGCAATGCTATCAATTCACAGAAAAATGTAAATACAGTTACAAATAATGTGCACAGTGACAATTTTCTTATTTGTTTCATTTCAGTTCTTTTGGGGTCCCACTTTTGTTTTTGTGTTTTTCATGCACTGGTCCTTTTGTTTATCACAAACAGGTCTTTTGGATCATTTTGCTTTGTCCCCCCGCCCCCAAATCATGCACTATTCCAAAAACCATTAAAAGTACCCGAAAAACTAGAGGCAAGCCTAAAGAGATTTGATCTACTCCAAACTCAAGCAACAACTACTGCCAAACAAAACAGTCAATATTTCCCACACCAAAATACAAACCTTTAGCAGAATACAAAGTAAATTAACCAAAGAACAATTTAAAAAAACAGCCAAAAAAGGAAAGTACATATCCATCCAGGGAAAAAAGGAACATAACAAAAAACCCATTCACAGACACTCCTCCCCAAAACCATGAAAAACACAAGCAAAGGCATAAATAAAGGCATAAATGAAATAAATAAATGTCAAAGCTTCCCTCAAATCAAAACTACCAGAATATGGGGAGATACCCACTGCCACACAGATACACAACTTGATCTCTTCTTCTTTAAGCCCAGCAAGCAGGCCAAGAAAAGGAAAATATTCTGAAAGAAATCAAGCAGGGAAAATAATCCCAAGGAGGCAACAACAAAAATACTCCAAAGAAACAGGGAGAAAGTGGTCCCCAAGTAAGGGATCCAATATGGGGTCACAGAGACAAAGCTGCACAGTCCAATATAGAGTACACCAGGAATTCACACAACAACAAGAAATTACTAAAGCAAATAAAGAGCATTCCTCACCACATTCCAACCAATCCAAGCCCTTTTACAGATTCAAAATTCCTGCCTCCCAGATGTTCCCATTGAACATCTATTAGATGAAAAATTCCTCATGCACTTCTACAAAGTGAAAGAAGCACGAAACCTTTGTCTAACCTTCTTTCATTCAAACAAATTGTTCATATTTAAGAGGATTGCTTTCTGTGACTGTAAAAGAAAAACAAAAAAGAAACTTTTGTGTGTTTTTTTCTTTTGTTACAAAATGAAAGACTCATCTGTAGTTACAAATTGTGTGTTGGTCTTTATATGCCTGTTTCATTCTAAAGGCCAGAATCCTATTGTTACATAAGGTGTGCATAACTTGCTAGAGCTAATTGCAGCTAACTGATGAGGTGCCAGTGTGCATCTCACTGTGTAGATAGGCACAGGTGTCTATCTCCGGACTAGATCAGATGGAAAGCTCTTTAATCTCACTAGATTGAGAGCGAAGACCAAAGTCCAGCTGAAATGCATGCGGGACTTCCTCTTTGCTGATGATGCAGCCATTGTTGCCCACTCTGCTGAAGACCTCCAACAACTCATAAATCATTTTAGCAAGGCCTGCCAAGACTTTGGACTAACTATCAGCCTGAAGAAAACACAAGTCATGTGCCAGGGCGTGGACTCACCTCCCTCTGTTACTATCTCCATGCAAGAACTGGAGGTTGTTCATGAATTTGTGTACCTTGGCTCAACAATCTCTGACACTCTCTCCCTAGATGTCGAGCTGGATAAACGCATTGGGAAAGCAGCTACCGTGTTCTCTAGACTCACAAAGAGAGTATGGCTTAATAAGAAGTTAACGTCATACACCAAAATGCAGGTCTATAGAGCCTGTGTCCTGAGCACTTCCTATACTGCAGCGAGTCCTGGACCCTTTGTGCACGGCAGGAGAGGAAGCTGAACACCTTCCATATGTGTAGTCTCCGACGCATTTTTGGTATCACCTGGCAGGACAAAGGTCCAAATAGAGTAGTCCTAGAACGAGCTGGAATTTTCAGCATGTATACAATATTGAAACAGTGGCGTCTACGTTGGCTAGGGCACGTCGTGAGAATGGCTGATGGTCGGATTCCAAAAGATCTCCTGTATGGAGAATTAGTGCAGGGAAGCCGCCCCCGAGCGAGACCACAGCTGCGTTACAAGGACATCTGCGAGCGGGATCTGAAGGCCTTAGGAATGGACCTCAACAGATGGGAAACCTTGACGTCTGAGCGTTCAGCCTGGAGGCAGGCGGTGCATCATGGCCTCTCCCAATTTGAAGAGACACTTGTACAGCAGACCGAGGCAAAGAGGCAGTCCCGAAACAAGCAAAACCAGGGAGCTGGACAGGGGACAGATTGGATTTGTCTCCCGTGTGGAAGGGATTGTCACTCTCAAATTGGCCTTCTCACCCACACAAGACACTGTTCCAAGACCTCCATACAGAGCACGATACCATAGTCTCTAGAGACTGAAGGATGCCTACACAGATAGGCATGTGCCGAGGCAGGCAGCTGAGACATAGCCCAACACCTCATCAATTAGCCACAATTACACAAACATCAGTAAGATTCTGGCTAAGACTGTATTCGTAAAGAATTTTTTCTTTCCCAACTCCATAACATGCTATATCAACAAAAACCTATATTCTAATAACAGTCTCCAAAAGGGAACAGATGCAGGATGGTCAGCCTATCAGTGATTTATAACACAAAGAATTACCGAGATAGATAAACCAGTTGCTCTCATATATATATATGATCAACTGGTTTATCTATCTCTGTAATTCTCTGTTATATGTATAAGCCCTGTAAACATTACACGAATACTGGGAACCAGGATTCCTCCTTCTGTGGCTGAAGCTAATATGCACATCTAGAAGTGAACCTGACTGGTTTTATATCTGCAAAACTGGGAAGCCTGTTTCTTTCCAGTCCTCTGTCTAATGGAAGTTCTTCTAGTATGTTCAGGACCAAAAGAGGGTGCAGAGAATCCAGAAAACCACAGATCCCCAAAAAGTAGTATAGCCCACTCATTGGTCCACAAATATTGGGCCCCTGATTCCACTGTCTACAACAGGAATTGGCCACCACTATTGTTACAGAAAACTCAAGCTATAGAATAATTTACCAATTCAGCATTAGTAAGAATCTAGTTTAAATGCAGGATCTAATCTTATAACAGAAAAGTCAGACATTTGTGAGCACTTTGGTGCCTTATCACATCAGTTTTTGATGGCACCAGTGATCGACTAACCTTGTCTAAAAGAGAAGGGATCACTGGTATTACAAGTTCTTCTTTCCAGTTTCTGCAGACTGGCTTGGTGCCTGATATAAGGGAAGATATACGAAGTTAGCATTTACTCTGGAAACAGTATATGACATGAATCTATGACATCTTCAAGTCAAAACCCCATGCCCATATCTATAGCTCCCGATTTGAACTGCCGTTTCAATTTGTTATGAATACCTGACTCATGATTTTAAAAATCTCTGCCTCCCACCAAAGGACAAGATTCCCTTGAAATATAAGAATTCACAGTGGTAACATTAGCAAGCTGCCTGTAGTAAAGAATAGGGCTGCGCTTGTACAAGAGCTAATTGTAGCCACAGTGGTGGTGGGGAATGTTTAATGTACCTACTCCCACTGCACTAATTATGGGACCCCATAGGTGGCAGCTGGAAAAATCTGTGGCACTACAGAATTGCTTGTTGGTTTGCTTAGTATTCATAAAAGAGCTTTCTGCAATGTGCCATCTCCACATTTTCTGATAAAAGAGAAAGAGTCCCTGTGCACTTTACAATGGTCTTCCCTTGCAAAGAGACGTAAGAAACTATGATAGAATTTGGCCAGGTGGGTAGATGAAGGCAATAAAAAGAAAGGTTAAGTCATAGAACTTGTGCTGAGAAATAAATAGGATACAATACCAAAACTATAGTAAAATGATCCTGATAATACCATATCCAATGGTTCTGTGTCTTTCAATCTGGCAACGAAACAGGGCCCCTCACAGAAAAGATACCATGGTATATGTATATATGTTAGTTTCTAAAAAAAATTCCCCTTCACTATAAAGAAACTGATGAGAATTGAATGTGTTCAGTGGTTTCCAAGGGCCATGCAATATTCAAAGGGCTGCTTATTTGCTGAGGGCATGCTTCAGTCCCTGGTATTGTTGTAAGCAGCAAAGTGACCTGCAACAAAGTACCCCAGGGTGAGGGTGGCTAACTCCAGTCCCCTTTGTATAATGAGTCCACCATTCACTTCACCCCCATGTAAGGAGTACGAAGTAGAGATGCCAACATTTGTGAAGCACCACAGCAGCTGTTTGTCCACTCACCCTACCCCCTTGGACCGGCTGGGCCACTTACTTTGCATTGCACAATGCTGACGTCTTTCTTCTGTGGCGGCATTCCAATCTGGGCAGGAGCTCGGGCTTCCTTTCCCCACCTCCCTTGGCAGCTGACCATTCATCGGCTGTGCAGGGAGAATCCCCATCCTGTTTCCTCACTGGAGTGGTCAGCTGCTGGAGACGGCAAGGGACGAGCAGTCTGAGCTCCTGTCTGGATTGGAGTGCTGCCAGAGAAGGAGGACCCTGGTGCTGCACAATGCACGGTAAGTGGCCCAGCTTGTCCGGTGAGTGGAGAAAGTGGACGCTCAGCAGCTGTGGTGCTGCACTGATGAATTTCAGCATCTCTAGTACAAAGACTTTCCCATTTCTTGTTGCAGTTCCTCCCAAATGACCCTGTAATATTCATTAACACCCCCCCTTTTTTTTAACAAGCTATATGCTCTGTGTGGCTTCTATGCGAGTCAGTGGTGGTCTTTGGGAAGCCTTCTCGAAACTAATGATGCCGTTCCCACTATAGCATTAGGTTGCTCCTCTGCTGTAGAAACCTAGAGAAAATAACATCATTGGCACTTCCAGGAAGTTGCCTTGAGATTACTGTAGACCTGTAAAGAAGCCACATGGGATGGCATTAAAGTGATTTTCTGTTGTTCCTTTGAGACTCTAGAGCAGTGGTTCCCAGCCTTGGGTAACCTAGGTTCTGGTACTGCAATTCTCTGAAGCCCTCACCACCAGGTCTGCTGCCCAGGGTTCCTAGGAGTTGCAGTTTTGGGTTACCTAAGTTTGGGAACCACTGCTCTAAGAAAAACAATATCATCAACATTTGAGGAAGTTTCCCAGAGAGCACTACAGACTTGCAGAGTTGCTTAGAATGTGTTGAGAAAAAAGAAAGGAAACTCAAGAAACAGTAACAATGTTAGGTTGGGAGGTCATAGGGGAGTTGCTCTCTGGCTAGATAGCTACAAGCCCCACTAGGGTCCCTGGGGAGGGGTTACTTTTGGGGTGGAGCCTTCTGAGGATGGGTGTATACTGCTGAAGTTACTGGAGCTAAAGCTCACATAACGGTGCTGAGTAATGGAGAATCATGAACACAAGACATTCCTTTTGTCTTATAGTATCCTAGATGTGAGTGAGGGGTCAGGAGGATGGAAGCTGCAAAACAATTTAAAAATCCTATTTCTGTATTATGTAAAACAGTTCAGAAGAAGGAAAGAGCTTCTTTTTTTTCCATTTCTGCTTTCCAGAAACCTTTCCTCCACATAACAATGAAGTGCCTAAAGGCGGGTGAACATTTCAGAAGGCAGAAAATAAGCACTCTTTTCTGCCCCACTGTCCATTAGCAGCCATGATAATCACTGTTAAGACTTCTATTTTGCCCTGCTTAGAACCTTGAGAGAAACACTACTGTCAGTCATTGGGGAAATACTGAAGCAAAGTGTTCTGCTTAAGTACCACCTCATATTGCTTAAAGAGTAGTTTACAATTTAATTATGCAGGCTACACATTGTGCCCTCCCCTCAGCAAGCTGGGTACTGAATTTACTGAGCTTGGAAGGTTGGAAGGCAAGTCAACCTCAAGTTGGCTACAGAGTCTTGGCTGCAGTACTGCAATTCAACCACTGGGTCATGAGGCTCATGCCATGAGACACTACAATATTTTGTTGCAATATACAGTGGTGCCTCGCAAGACAAGCGCTTCTTTTAACAAAGAAATTGCATAACGAAGTTTTTGCAATCGCAAAAGCGATCACAAAATGATGTTTCCTATGGGGTTTTTTCACTTTGCGATGATCGGTTACGTGCTTCGCTAACCGATTATCGCAAAACGAAGATTTTCGCACAGCTGATTGGCAGTTTCAAAATGATGGCCGGGTTAAAAAAAAAAGACTGCCTGCTGTTTTCTGGGACAGATTCCTCGCTGCACGGGCAGCGAAAATGGCCGCGCTATGGAGGATCTTCGCTGGACGGTGAGTTTCAAGCCCATAGGAATCCATTAATCGGGTTTTAATGCGTTTCTATGGGCTTTTAAAAATTGCTTTATGATGTTTTCGTTCTACAGCGATTTTGCTGGAATGAATTAACATCGTAATGTGAGGCATCACTGTACTTCACTCGTCTTATTATAATTTCTGCCCCAAATTTAGTTTTCATTAACAGCATTCTAACTGAACCATGTTTCAGATTAGAATGAAGACTAGTTTGCTGACTACAAAACTCACATCTCGTTAAATCACATAAGATATCACATAGCTGCTTCTCTCTTCCATACTAATCAGCAGTATGTAGATACATTTAAATATCAGGTGCATATCTTTGTTAAGATGGGACTTCTGGGTAACGTTAGGGATGTGCCACCTGGATTTTTGGACATCAGCTTTCCGAATTCTCCATTCTAGGAGTTCCACCAGAGAGATCCACACCTACAGACATTTAAATGGGACTCACCTGGAGAAAGGCTTAACGGTCTAGTTTCCTGTTCAAAAAGGAAGTTACCCCAGCAATTGGTGGGGGACTCTGAATACCTCCAATTAATGGTGATGTGCAGGGTAGACTGTCCCCCCCCCGGAGCCACCAACACCTTTGGACAGAGAGGTGTCTTATTTTTTAGATGACAGCTCCTAGAATCCCACAGCCAGGGTGGCTGGTGGCAATAGTGAAAAGGGGATTCTGAGTACTGTAGTCAATAAACGAACTGTTTCCCATCTTTGCCACTACCTGTTCACTTACCCTGTTCCTCTGTGCTTGACTCAAATCCAGTGAAGGCTGCTGCTCTTGTTCCTGTTGGTGCTTGCATATTTGGCAGCAATGCGGAGGATAAGGAGGGACAGGGGCTTCTGTTCAAGTTTGGACTTCAACAGACGTTTGGTGATGCCAATCCCTGAGACGAGCTCTGTGGGTTGTATGTATAAAAAGGCTACATGGTTTTCAAAGTGTCCAGGGGAACATTCTGAAATACTAACTGCAAGGAATCTATAGGGCAATTAAGTGAGAAGCACCCTGGAAATCCATAACAGACAAATGCAGTAAGATACCCATTGCGCTGAAGCCTTCATTGCATCAAGATGCTACTGTATCTCATAAGATATACCAAAGCAGTCTCAACTACAGTTTGTAGACCTAAAAGGAAAGGAAAAGGGAAAAGAAGGAAGAGAAAGCTCTTCTTTACATACAGTTGCCACATGTTAGAGTGCAGGCAGCATGCAAGTTGCCATTATGGTATAAAGAAGAGAAAAGTGATACTAAGTGGTCTATAGTTTTTCTCTACTCTGTTCTGCTGAAGCACACTGATATACATTTTCTACAATAGTATTTAAAAGTACACATATGCAAGTTTTTAAATATGCTGAACTGTAGTCAAGACCAAAATTAGGCATGAACCAATTAACTATTTTGGCAAGCATGTTCCCCATGAGCTTTCTTCTTCTTTGAAGAGCAAACTCATATTTCATACCATATCAAATGAGTTTCTGAAAATTGTCAAATCTCATTTGCTATCTGGAACAAAAGGTTTACATTTTATGAAACATGGTAATAAATAAATAAATCATCTTAGAAGTACTTTGGATACTTTCAAGTAATTTACTTTTTCATTAATTGTAATGTAAAAATACAAATGTACAAAGTTCCTGAAATGGCCTGAAACTGACAATAAAAATAACAGGAAATCTAAATTCCAATGTAGGTACATGTAACAGCAACAGTATTCATAGAGCAACACTTTTTCTCAAACGGATGATATACAGGATGGATTGCAGGGATGCTTGCTTTGATTTTACTTATATCACAACATAAAGAAGTAGAAAATGACTCCATGAATCCAGTCTTAGTTATGTAGTCCACTATGCCTATACACATGTGGACCAAAATTCAAACCATATAAGCAATACATATGTCTTTGCTAGTGTAAGGCAACGCCTACCTCACTAGAAATGTATGACTGAACTGGAAAAACAAACAAACCCTGAATTCTCTTTTTATTATTACTTGAGACTAGACTTGAATTTCATTCTACTTGTGTATAAACACCAGGAGTGGTGGACTTAAGTCCCCGAATAAATAAGAAAGGTCTGAAGAGTATAGGAAGTATTATTCCATTTATATGCACTTGTCCAAGTCAACATCAAACTTTAAACTTCACGTGTATCATTCAAATCAGCAGTGCATCTCAAATTAGCTAGTCAAATATGAGAACAGTGATGGCCTTACAGTAGTTCCCCAAAACACCAACACTCAGGAAAAATGGTATGATGCATTTAGATTAAGGATTTTCAGCTGCTAGTTCTCTGCAGGGTCAGTTTTAACTTCCTAATCACAGAACTTTCAAGATAGCTTTGCCATTAACTACCATAAAAGGACAGGAGAAGAGAAAGAAGAATCAGTTCTCTGATTTGCTAGTACTTTGAAAAAAATAGCAGTAAGCAAGTAGATGGTACAAAAAGATAGAGTGGTATGCTACTTTTTGGCAGAAGAGTATGAGGATACACACGAAACAACACATTGCGGATAGCTTTAGACATACCATGAACAACAGAGATGATTCGATCTATAAGGATCATCTGAGAATAAAAATACAAATAAGGGAGCAGCAAGAAACTCACAGCAACAAAAGGGTTGTAACACTAAGATGAGAATACAAGTTTATGAATAAACAGGCCCATACCTGCATACTTTTTGAAGATATTCCAAAGGTCATGAATTACTGTTTGGTTATTTAGGGACCTAACCTTGAGTCATCTGTTCATTATACAACAACTTTGTATTTTCTAAGATGACTGGCCTACTTACTTTCTTTTTTCATTTGCATCAAAGTGTGGCCAAGACATCTTTAGATTTTGTACTATTTCCTAAGCTAGATTACTGTTTGTTCAGGCCACAAGCAGATTCATGAGATACCGAGAAAGTTCTTTTTATCTATTGAAGAGTCTTATCCCATTACCTTGGCTTCATTATTGAATAATGCAGATGAAGTAAAATATTCTGTTGTGGCTCAAGTAAATAACCTGGGAGAGAAGAGAGCAAATAATTATATCTGAAATAGAACCCATGGCCGTTCTACATTTAGCATCCCGTTTCTCTAGCAAATGAACACCGAACGCTGCAAAAGCAAGCATAGGCAAGGAGAAACCACAGATGTTAAAGAAAATGGAAGCTAACCTTAGTATCTCCCTGACTAATTTAAGCCATTTTTTAGACACAAAATATAGTGTTCCCTCATAATATGAGGTTTCAACTGCTTCTCAATTCATATTTGGGCATAGTTTATTACAGAAGGGAGATATGGTAATGAAATGAAGATGTTGGTCCTGGGCGTAAATCATCAAAACACAAGTAAATATAATATGGGCTTCTGGAATATGCTAGTAGTAGATGGTGATGCAGCAAAATGGCTACTGAAGCAGCTTCGTGGCATCATTCATTTCTGGCAAACAATTCTGCAAGAGGAAGTAGTCATTCGGTAGAAGATTTCTTTGTAAAATCAAGTTAATATATTTAAGGAAAAACATGAATGCTAATTAACCAAAGCTATGAAGCAGCACAATTCTCTGTTGCTTCTTCCTCCAGAAGTACAACACGTACCCCTGTTAATAAATATTTCATATTCATTCACATCCACCAGCATTGCCATAATAGATTCTAGGCAAACCACTTTCTTACCCTCCACAGTAAGGAGGAAAATATGGCAGACAGAAGCCACACCTAAACCATCACAAAATATGGCTGTGCATTGGATGAAAACTACGTAGTAAGACTGTGCTGATGATTTTTATTTAGTCTTGGGGACTCAAAGGAGTAGTGGGCAATCTTTATAAACAGTAATTTTTGACAGCATATAACAAACAAACAAAAAAAGAGGAAGGAAATCCTCTGATTATTCCAGCAGCAGCAAAGCTCTTGACACAAAGCTCTAAGACTTTTTAATATGACATGGAAATTGACAGCAGCACTGCTGCAAGCCCTGAATCTACACTGCCAGGAACAAAATGGCCTGGAGTGCTATTGCCTCCATCTATATTCTGCTGTTAGCTGGGCAAAAGCACATATACAGATACGACAACCATTTTTTGATTAGGACTGTTTTTTCATGCAAAAGTTTTAAAAATGAGGTTCTCCCTCTCACACACCTTCTCAGGTCTTATTTATGTCTTCCACCTTCTCAAATAAACAGCAAACAGTTGTGCGACAAATGACCACAAACTAAAAAGCACAATTAGGAATAATGCCCATTTGCTTGCATTTGGTGCCGAAAAGCAAGAAATAATTTGTTCCTGATTCATAATGCCTTCTCCTGGTTCACCTATGTGTTCTTCACCAAAACTGTGATTGGTAGCGCTCCATATAAAAGAACTGCAGTTCTGAACATTCCTCTGAGGCAGATCTTATCATGCCCACTTTGTGGAAGACAAAAACAGAGGCAGAAAGAACATATTACCTCAAAGGTTAAAAAAAAAACTCGCAGCCTATTACTACAGCCAATACATCTGACTTCCAGACTAATCTTATAAGTTTCAATGTCACTTTTGGCGGAGTTCATATGCTTCTGATGCCGCTTGTATTCGTACACACAGCCATAATAACTCCATAGTATTTTTTTCAAATCAATCCAAAGAAAGGTCATATCCTTCCCATTTCTCATTGTTTTCAGATCCCCCAGATTCAAATAGCCTTGCATGAGAAGTCAGTGACCAAGGCAGTAAGTTTTAAAAGCCAACAATAAAAAATTTGATTTTTAGATTTCGGTCTTAAAAAGACAAGAACAAGAAACACAAATATTTCCAAGCCTGGCAAGAAAGGGCTACAAATAAATCTCCATACTAAATCCTAAACCTTCTGGAATGTGTTTCTACTGTAGAACTAAGAAGGGAGATGTTATTTACTTCTCCATTCTTCATCTGTGAATTCAGCTCACTCCCCAAAATATTAAGGTACGCCATTACGAAGCACCAGGTGTCAGGAAGCAGATATGCAACCCCTAGTGGCCACATCTAGAAAGCACAAGAACTTCTGTTTAGATGGCGTTGGTTAAAATGAATTTAACCCAGTGCTCTACCAACATACCCAGCTGCGTTATGTTCTCCCCGCTCCTGCCAGAAACAAATGCCATCTCAGCACAGAACCATCCCTGCACCAAAGCAGCCATCATAGTTGTTTCTCCTGTTGCCCTCCTCTGCGGAACTAGCACTGCAGGACGCAAGACTGCCTCCGGAGGAGACACCTCTGCAGAGCAGGGACTCACTGTGGGGGAGGAGGGAAAAACGAGAAGACGATGTACCTACAATGAAAGAATCTCAAATTAGACAAAAGGCTTGGCAAAGGAGAGGGAAAACAGAAAATGGAAAACGTGTGTATGAGGCAACAGCATAGGAAGGGTTTATTTGCCGTATCTCTTTGCCTTCCTCTTTTCAATATATCATGTCTGTCTATAGAAATGGCTTCCTGATTATTTTTCCTTCCCCCTTCAAGCTAGTAAATATTAACAGCAGACTATGCCTATTTATCTTTCTTGGGGCTTTTAAAGGCAACTGGCAGGTACACATCTTACAACAACCCTTAAAACTGAATACTCTTAAAAGAAATCAAGATGGAGAATCACAATCTGGTTCCAAAGCCAGCAAACTGCTGCCGAATGGCTACACTTGACTCTCTCGATGCCGGTGAGTCACCCACATGAAGCCTTACACCATCATAAAACCTTCAGCTCGATAGAGCATCTTATGAGAAAATGGCACAAGAAAAGTATATTCTTGTGGTATGTGATAATGGAAATTGTTCTCGATTTCAAAGTAGGTTCCAAAGAGAAGAGAATATAGATTTCAGCTTCCAGAATGGAATAGTTCTGTTACTAGAACTGCTGAGGGATGGGCCAAAATGGTAAAAACACATCTCATCAAATGATTAAAACAAGAACCCTGTTCTTCTCAGACTTTCATTATTTATGCTAATGTCCCCCACCCTACCCTACCCAATCCCCAGCTCTCATTTATTCTTTTGGTCTCTTTAGCTATCCTTCTCCAACTATATTAGAAGCTGCATAGTTTTAAGACAACAAAAACAAGAGAAGGGAGACTTCTTACCACTATGTTCGGTTTTCATTCAATCCAGAAACAGCACTGACTTTGAATTTACATGGATGTAACCCTAGACTGATTTCAACATACAAATCTGTCCAAATTTTTATAGATACACCCGTGACCTGAAGAATTTATAGTACAAGTAAATTACTTAAGTTTCTCCACTCACAGAGGTAGACACCCATCAAAAGTCTCTTTCTGTTGTCTCCTCTGAAGCCTATAATAATGTCACGTCATCATGGCTTGTCTCACAGCAGCCGGAAACACGCCTGTCACTGATGCAACTCGAGTCACAGAATATTTGTTTTTCCTTCTGCGTCACTTGGACCAGTCATAAACCAAACTAATCCACAGTAGTTAAGTTCCTGCTTTCTTTTTTCTTTGCTTTTTAAATGGCCAGCGTTGAAAACACACATACATTCCAGAATGCCTGCTTTAAGACAGAGGACTGGGTGGGGAGAAAGAAAGAGTGAAAGCAAATAGATGATATTTTAAGTCACAAACTGTTCTGAACCCCTTTTAAAGCAAGAGGAATGGAACATTTAGATTTGATATCCTGGCCTCAGCCAATCTGAAGCAGCTTTTCACCTGCCACTGCCTTTTTCTCCAATGAAAATGTGTGTTTGGAGTGAGAGCCCTCCCCAGCCAATCATGTGCAAGCTCAGGCACTCAGTTAATGATGCAGCAGTACAGGGAAGACTATCACATGTGAGCTGGAAGACTGCCAACATGGAGACACGGAGAGAGCAAGGTAAACAACTTTCCAACGCCAAAATGATGACATTTAATTCCTAAATGCTATTCTTCTTTCTTAACTCAGCCTCTAGCAGCTGGCATGGGGACTCACAGTGTACCTGTCCCTCTGATGCTTTAAAACCCAGTAACATGCCAGGCAAGGATCATTGCGTAATCATTTGCCACTTTTCAGAACTATGGAGATACAGGCTCCCAGATTTAAAAATCCAGTGTGTTTTTTGCTAACCCCTCTGCAATGTTCTCAAATGTGCCCAAGTTAAAAGTGAGCAAAGGGAAGAAGGGGTTAGATAGCAGTCCCCAAAAACTATACTTCTCTTTTCCCTCTATCCCCAAATCTGCATTAAAGCTACGCAGTGGTATTTTACAACCTGTGCCTTCATTCCATTGGTCTGACGCAGAACACAGAAACAGTATTTAAACACAGAAACATAAAACAGAGTAGAAAGTTGGGGGGAGCGAAAAGAATCTTCCCAACACACACATACATATGACAGTTCAGCCTCCCCCCCATCAAAGCATACGTACGGAAGGAAAAAGAGGAATCATGAGGTCTGTTCATCTACACCTGTGCAGTCCTCAACTCTCTGCTTGCTCCGCCGCAGCACAGAACATTCCAGAATTTTCCTCACATTAACCCTTGCTACATCTGCCCCCCCTTGCGGAATTAACTGCGTTGCATCTTTCCAGTACCGCCAGTGGACAAAATCCACTCATATTGTCCCAAATAATATTTCTTTAAAAAAATAAAAAGATGCCAGATAGGTAAAAGAGCCATGCTTTCCAATGTTGTTATTACTTCTCTTTCCTGATTCCCTCTCTCTGTGTCTCTTGCTGCAGCAGGGCTGTTGCTAGTAGATCTACTGACAGAGCTTGCTCTCCTTCACTCTCTCTCTCCCTCTGAGCTGTGTGACGCAGCTCAAAATTCTCCAGGCTGCTCCTTGTGTTTTAACAGCAGAACTGCAACTTTCCCCAGAGAGCCGATGCCAGCAGTACCAGGGCTGGACAAACTAAGACAGAAAGTCACTCCCAGGCTAAGCACCCAAGTTATTTATATCTCCGTGTTCCCTTCCTCACCTTGGCTCTTTTGCTTTAGTTCCAAGCTTCCCCGTTTCTCATGTTCGCATCATCAGTTTCTTGTGGCTACCACACCGTTACACTCACTGTGTTAACTCTTTTAGGGTTGGCAGCTAAAAAGTGCCATTCTTAAACAGACACAAGCTGAAAACAGGGCAAGCGGCTGTTCCACTCATAAAGGAAACAAACAGATATTTTACAACCATCATGAAAAAAACATGCAGTAATATTAATAGTACTGATTAAATTTTCTGAAAGGACAACATAGGCACTTCAGTTCTGAAAGGCCAGTGGTTCTCCCACGGGGCAGGTGACACACTCAAGTGTATCCTTTTAACTCTTCCAATACTTCCATGACCTGTGAAATGTCTGAAAACCTCAAGTCTATCATGCTGTTCGCAAGCTCACTTTAGAAAAGTATTAACAAAGAAAAAAGATAAGTTTATTTCTGTCCATAGAGAAAGCAACGCTAAGATTTTGATGCCTGTGACTTTGCACCTTGAGGTCACCAACAGCAGAACTGTGCTGGTCTCAGGAGAGGACTCGGGCCACCAAAACACACAAGTAATCACTTCAATATGGTATGTCTTGAGAGCAGCTGGTAGTTTTCCCTCCAAAATGCTCCTGAGGGGGTGGATACTCTGCCCCTTGATTAGCCAGCTACCATGGGTTAACCCTTTGTGTGCCACTGATAAGTTTATTGTGCAGTCAAAAGACCTGCCTAAATTGCATGAGGAAACCATTAGCAACATGAACAGAGTGATTAGTGTGTGACAAAAGAAGAGTTTGGGGAGGAATTAATGAAAGTCTAAATGCTTTGCTTTCAAAGCTGTACTTGAGGGCCAGATAAAAGAAATACCTTGGTGATAAACTCTAAACAGAAACAGGGCCAGTGTTAAAATTTGCTCTTGAAGTCTGACTGCTCCTTTTGGATTTTCTGACAGAGCTGAAGTCTCAGTGATTTCCCCCCTCTTTTCTTTACAGAGCTATTTTAGAGCACTTCATGCCTGAAAGTGACATCTGTTGTGCGCAGATGCATGAAAGAACAATTGCAAACTTCCAAATGCGAAAACTGCAGAGATGCAGAGCTCAAAATGCATGGGAGGAAAAGGCAAATTCAGGAGTGTTGGACAGTTACAAGGCACTTCCAAGACAGCAAGAGGTCTGGTATAACTTCCCTGATGCCTATGGTTAAGCAGTGCTCTTCCTGCCTTCTTTTTCTAAATGATTCATTTAATTGTTTGCCTCCCTCCTCAAATTCAAAAAGCAGTTTCTGCAACGCTAATCTGTCAAACAGGATGTCTGATGAGTCTGGGCAGAGGAATGGGGGGGGGGCTTCCGCTGGCTCTCTGAGTGACTGTATTTTGCTAGGTAAAACTTTTAAAAAAATGATGACAAATGAACCACAGAGGACAAGAAACAGTGTTCTTTTTACTGAACTTAATCTCCCTTTTTTTGCTGGTAAAGCCAGTATTAAAAGCAGACATACACAAGATATGTGAAGCACAACCTTTAACAAATACAGAAACCTCTGATACTGTGCTTTTCCCAAGAATCACAGTAAGAGTTTCGTGATCTGCCTTTTGAGAAACGCTGCAACGCATCAGAAGATGCTAAAGAAAAAGAAAATGACTGCCATGCCTTCACATGTCTTATGAGAACAAACTGTTCCCAAAACTGAAACATGCCCACATACTTCTTTACTCATACCGAGAATGCAACCTGTAATGCACAAATTATAGGGTAAAAGGTACTATGGTGTTCCCTTGAGCTGTAACATGGGAGAATGCCAGCAACAGTACTGGTGAATACTAGCTACAAAGAGACAGAGGCATGCACTGCCAATCAGTGCCAAGATTATTTCAAGTATCCACTATGGTTACATTTATATGGAAAGCATACATCCTTTTGTATTCGCGAAGGCTTTCACGGCCGGGATCTAATGGTTGTTGTGGGTTTTTTGGGCTCTTTGGCCGTGTTCTGAA